ATGTTCTTAAAAGCGTACGTCCAGTTTACCTGATTTTATGTATTTATTAGCCATGTCTTATGCAAGTTATCAGATTATGTGCCATTTTTGCTAGTATACATCCTTTCCTTTGTAGTTTAGTAGGAAAATATAATAAGGATGTCAAAAAATTTAATGGATGTTGGAGATGCAACAACAGTGCCTTTATAAAACTACTTAATGACCTTAATTCGATGATTGCTTTAATTCATTTGAGTGATTATGGAATTTAGGTTGGTGGCTAAATTCCATCATTCATTTCATATGCTGAAGATCCTTTGTTTAATTGAGCGAGTACTTTACCTCTTCTTTCGCCCATCATTCATTTCACCGCTTCTGTCAATGAAGGTTATTGCGACTCTGTTTGGTTGGTCATTCAATTGGTTAATGTGTCTGTTTAAATTATTTGTGTAGGCACGGGGCGGGGAATGGTGCTGTTCCATATGGAAGATCTGATAGCTTCTCTCAGCAGACAGGTTTGGCAGGGCGTTCCTTGCTCTCCAGGGATTCTGATCACAATTCGCCGTACAATGAAAAGAGAGAACGAGCTATCGGCTCAGATAAGGAAAGGGTGACTCACAGGGCTATCAACAAGTATGTGTTACCAAACTGGCAATCACACACCTGTCATTTTTTTCCGCTTGATTACGTTCTCCAATTCTTATAATTCATGTTACTCTCCCGTGGGTTCATTTCAGGCCAAATATTCAGGATGAATTGAATTCTTCAAGCCCAACTTCAACCCCAAAAATAAGTGTTTCGTTTCGTGGTCCGAGATCAGGATCAGGGCTACCGCCGAAACTTTCTCCTGTTGTCCACAACACTCCTTCTCCAAGTGATTGGGATATTTCTGGCTGTACAAACAAACCTCCACTGTTGTCAGGGGTTCCTAGTCGCAAGCGTATGACATCAAATCGGTCTCCATCACCACCTGTCACTCAATGGGCGGGTCAAAGACCACAAAAGATATCCCGTTCTGCAAGGAGAACGAACTTGGTCCCCATTGTTTCAAGCAACGACGACGTTCCTTCACCAGATAACATGTCAGATGTTGGATTTCATAGGCGCTCGCCAGCAGCTTCTTCGCCAATGAAATTTAAAGCTGAAAATAGTGTGTCTACAACAGCTTTATCAGGAAGTGAAGAATCTAGCCCCCATGAGATCAAATCTAAAGACAAGGGAAAGCAATCTGATGAGGTCGATGGGAAAGCTGCTCTGAGTGTTCCCAAACTCTCCATCACTGGTGTACAATCCAGAAAAAATAAGCTTGGGGATGGTGTAAGGAGACGAGGAAGGACAGATCGCGGCTTTGGTTCAACAAGGTCTGTCAACCCAATGGGAGTTATGAGACATGGAACAGCAAAACAACTTCGTAGTGCAAGAAATAGTTCTGACGCGAATGAAAGGTAGGACCATGCTTCAAGTATTTCTCTTTTCCTATTTTCAGGTATGGGTAAAAGTTTTTGGTTTCATGAGGTTTATCTCCTAGTTTATAACATAAGCTCTCTGCAGCAGGGTAGGTCGTCCACCCAGTAGGAAACTCTCTGACCGCAAAGCTTACAAACGTCAGAGAAGTACATCGTCAAATGCTGCTCCAATAGATTTTCTTGGTCAGTTCAGTTAATCAGATTTGTTCTTTGGCATGATTGAATTTTTTTCTTTTATTTTATTTATGATTTTGTTTTATTTTCTTAGTTGGCTCAGATGATGGGCATGAAGAGCTGCTAGCTGCTGTGAACTCGGCTATAAACTTTGGTAAGTTATTTCCGTGGTCCTCGTTTATGTTTATTCTTCAGATTTTCTTCTCTAGAAAAATATGTTTTGTTCTTTTATGCAGCTCAGAATTTTCCTAACTCTTTCTGGAAGCAAATGGAGCGATACTTTTGCTTTATATCTGATGCGCATATCAATTTCGTGAAACAGCTGGTAATTCGTTGTCCTGTATAACAATAAGATAAAGATTATACAATTCAGACCTCATAATTTAAAGGATGTGACAATCAGTTATATATATGTTTCTATGCATATGCGTAGTACTTGATCGGTGTATACAACTAACGTTCTACGTCCTGCACCGTTGTCTAGTGTGGTGGGATGTAAATGTGTTGCAATGGATTACTCTGGGGCAGATGTTTTATTTCAATAGTACTAGTAGATTCATTATGCGTGTGTATATGTTTGTTTCATTGGGGAAAAACCGAAAATGGTAGGAAATATGTGTAGATTTGCTATGTTACCTGATCTGACGATATAAATTTTCTTTTTCCTTTCAAAAGTTTGGTTAAATATAATTACATCTGTAATATACCGACTCTTCATTTTCGATAAATGTGATTACCATTTTCTCTGTCAGGGTGACCTCTCCTCCATGGGTACTACACCAGTCGGGTCAGCTTCAGACTTCGATGGTCGTGACACATTTCCTGAGGAACTTACAACCAGCAGAGAGGATTCTAAAGCTGCGCCCCTTTATCAGAGATTGCTATCAGCTCTAATTTCGGAGGACTCAACCAGTGTAAATGAAGACTTACAATTTGGAGCGGAGGATGAGTCAGAACTTAGTGTTTTGAACAATATGATGGATTCCAATGGTTATAAGAGTGATAGACTGGACTTTGATGAGCTAGAAGATGATGTGTCTGTTATGACGCTCAAGGGTGTTAATAGCTCAGCTCACAATGTCAATGGAAGATTTTCAGACCATTTATCCAGCGACTTCTCAGACATTCAGTATGAAAATTTGGGGATAGATGAGAAGATTTATATGGAAGCTCAGTCCATTGGAATTTGCTTGGAACCCATGGTATATTCCCCAGTCACCATGAGTTCAATATCTTTACAAATGCTGCTTACTGATGTTATTGGGTTTGGATTCTGATTGATGTGTTGTCATTGTGTTTTCCTGCAGGCTAATATTTCAAGCGTGGAGGATGAAGGAATTGCTGACGAGATCAAGAAGCTAGAGGAGGCTATCTACGAGGTGGTATGTTTTCTCGTGTTCTTATCTTCCTTTTCTTTTAAAACAGCTTAATATTGCAAATTATAATTTTTATTGCTTATAATCTACCTTGTTCATGTTTCATGTTGTACTTGTAAAAAGTTAAAATTCTAATGTGTTCTCAAGATAGCTAACGTTGTGTTGTTGTCTATCTTAAAACTTTTAAGGGTTCTAAGAAGAAAGAGATGTTGAATCGGATTATAAAGCCTGCCCTAGAAATGAAAGAACTTCAGGAGAAGTAAGACTTTGTCTTTCTTCTGCTTTTCTGCACGCCTTTAGTGATCTGGACTTCTGTGATCTAACGGTTATTTTCTCATGTTTTTAGGGAGTTTGATCGGCTCGGTTATGAGAAACTCGTCGAAATGGCATATGAAAAGAGCAAGGTGAGAATTCATTGTTTCTCGTAATTGGGTCCACTATTCAGTTTTCTTTGCCTTTTCAGATACACTTTTCCAATTTATTCCAAGTTCATGGTTTGATAATTCTGTATGGATTCTGTTTTACAGTCAAGTCGGCGTCATCACAACTCCGCAGGTGGAAAGAGTTCGGCTAACAAGATATCAAAGCAAGCGGCATTTGCTTTCGTGAAAAGGACGCTTGGAAGATGTCGTGAATTCGAAGAGACAGGCAAAAGCTGCTTTAGCGAGTCTACATTTAAGAATATCCTCGTTGCCGGGCTGACACAAATTGAAGATAACCCCATGGACAAGGAGCCGATGGGATCACAACAACCGAGCTCATCATTGGCATTGCAGAACTCGGATAATGCTTTACGGGAAGGGAGAGATGAGACAATGTGGTCAAATAGAATGAAGGAGAGAGAGCTGCTACTAAATGATGTGGGTGGGGCACCACTTTCAAGCTGTACAAAAGGGAAGAGAAGTGATAGGGACAGAGATGGAAAAGGACATGCTTCTTCATCAAGAGGTGGAGGAACTAACAAGATCGGTCGGCCTGCACTGTCCAATAATGCCAAGGGTGAACGTAAATCAAAAACAAAACCGAGGCAGAAAACAACTCCTATGTTTTCTTCCCCTTCTTCTGCCAATATCATGGAGCAAAACAGAGCATCACAGTCCAAACCAACTAATAGCAACAACAACGAGTTTAGTAACTTGAAGACACTGGACGAGTCAGAGCCTCCTCTTGACCTATCTCAACTGCAGATACCAGACGGTTTAGGTGGTCCAGATGATTTCGATGCGCAAGCAGGAGATCTTAGCTCGTGGTTAAACATCGATGACGATGCATTACAAGATAATGATATTGATCTCCTTGGACTTCAAATACCCATGGATGACCTTTCAGACTTAAACATGATGGTATAAGCTCCCCTCTCCATCTTTTTATTTCTGTACAGTCCCTTCTGCTTTGTACCATTATTAGCGACGAAGAAAGACAAGGAAAAGGAAAAAAAACAAGTTTTGGTCCCCAGAAAGAATAACCCCAGTCACCAGAATCGGTTATTCAGGGTGGCTCCAACAAGCTAGCAACTAGCCGACATAGATTCTTCACCTTCAGCATCATGTTTAGGGGGTTTCTTTGTTTCTCTTTTCTTATAGTTCTTGATTACTAGGGTGGTGAAACTGTTTTTGTTTATTGGTGATGGGTGGTGGTATTTGGCTCCGGCGGTTAAGATAGGTCGGTGGTTAAAAACGCCAGGAAAGAAAAAGAGTGGTAGTAATGTTGTGTAGTGATATATAGATAAGTCTCAGGTTTTCTTCTTCTTCTTCTTTGATCTCTGGGATTTTGTAGCTTTCATAAACTCGGAACCGATTATTGTTGCCTCTGTACATACATTTTATGTTCCTTCAATAAAATTCAGCTTCTAATAATAAACAACAAACATGTCATATATTAAATCTTTTGTTATTTGTATTTCTGTAAAGTGTACTTTCTTATGTAAATGGCAAGCATTTAAAAAAACTCAAAGGAGAGCAAAAAAAACGAAAAAACACAAAAATAAACCTTCTTTACAAGTTTTTCATCTTTCTCTGGAGATGAGTGTGAGAGTTGCGTTTATAGCATTGCGGTTGGTTTTGGACACAGCTTGCTTCAGCGTCACGGTTGGTGACGCACTAACACTTCGTCTTTGCTGCTCAATCACAAGCTCGTTCGCGAACCACTCTAGTTTATCTGAATTACTCATTTCACCGATCCTTTTGCTTCCAAACAACACCGACTCAACATTGTTCTGCTTCAACATCTCATCAGCGATCTCCGTCAGTTTCTTCACATTCTCTGCTCTTGGATCCGTGTCCACGTGCGGCCCACAAGCTCCTAACCTCGACCCATTTGCCTGCTGCACCACAACATTTTGTTTCTAATGATATTTTCATCCAAACGGAGAACGCAATAATACTTAAAATGGAATGAAATAAACCTGAATGCGAACGTAGTTACTACTCCTGTAAGGCCCAAAGCCCATAGAAACAGCCTGATCAACAAACTCAGCAGAACCATCACCAGAGATCCGCGCCATGGGCCTGGCCCATTCTTTTACCCGCCAATTTTTAACTTGCTCGTAATCATAATTCACTTCAAAAAGCTGACCAGTCCCAAGCGACAACACCAACATATCCTCCACCCCCATAACCGCCGGAAACTCCTGTTTATTATGAAACACGTGCGTAATCGCCGCAGCCGTCGGATTACTCATCGCGAGCCCACCTCCAACCGCAACGCACCGCGTTTTCCCGTCTATGGAACACGTGCGAACGGGATCGAACGTCCCCGGCTCCGCCCACGTGGCGCGACAAATATCTCGGAGACGGAAATCGAAACTGTCGCTCTCTAGCGCGTCGGCGCGTGAGAAGAGAAGCGGCGCGGTGCTGGAGAGATCGTAGCAAGAGATGAGAATCGGTTTCAAAGTGTCTTTGAGCGTCAGATCTGCGAACGAAGCTTTCATTGCTTTCTCTAGCTTCGCTGACGCGGCGGTTACGGAAGAGGAGGAAGAGGATGATCCGGATCTCATGACGCGTTTAATCGCCGCTCCTGCTCCTCCGCTTCCGGGGGATGATCGGTAGAAACTCTCTGCGTTGTCAACTAGGAACTTCCACGTGTCCTCCGCCTTGAAAATCGGGCGGTTACCGTCTCTAGTCGCGAACATCATCGCCGAGAAAACTCCTCCGATTCCTGATCCCGCGGCGACGTCGAAGTAATCCGCGATCCGAGCGTTCGGATCGCCGGATTTCTCCTTCAGCATCTTCTCGAGATAGATTAAGGATTTTCCCGCCAAAAGACCTCTCATCCCTCCGCCGTCGATGCTCAAAACGCAGATTCTCCCTCTCGGACTCCGGAAAGAAGACGGCGTTCCCGGGAGAACGACGCCGTTTGGAGTCAACGGTGATCTAGGAGAAGGTCCTGCATCGGAAGAATCAGGACCAGGTCGTAACGGACTACGAGGGATCCATGAGAGCCTAGGGTCTTCGTAACCGAAGAGAAACTTGCTCTCGAGAATGGAGAAAATCTCGTAGCTAAGCTTATCATCAGAGTCTCTGATCAATTCGTGTGATCGAGCTGGTGATAGCGCTGGACTGGCTTGAGTCCTCTCGTGGTTTCCAGGAGTGGTGGGAGCTGTGTGGTTGACGAAATGCTTCTTCTTCTTCTCCTTTGAGGAAACCGCCAGTGGCGGTGGCTTATTATCGTAGCGTCGATTCATCAGAATCGTTTTAAGAGAGAAAGGGAAGTTAGCTTAAACACACAAACTTTGAAGCTTCTCGCAGCTATGGCGAAGTTTGAAATATGATTTTTTTTTTGTTTTGTTCAAAGAAAATAGAGAAGATGAAGGCTAAGCATCATGACATGGCTAAGCACTACTCGAAAGGTCTCGCTCCCACGTCCAAGGCGCCTCCAGCAAATTAGGTCATTATATGATTTTTATTTTCTTGTTTATTATTATTGATTTCAGTTTTGGTTGAATATTTTATCAAGGAGTAACAATTTATCATGGTTGGCAGATATACCAATTAATTAAAAATGAGTGCATGTTTTAAGTTAACAAATCACTTGTAGACTTTTCGTATGAGAGAAAAAAAACTGTCGTCAAAATATCTACATTTACTCTGTTTTTTAAATTACATTGTAAATAACGTATCTCACATTTATTTGCTGGAAATACGAACGTTTGTCTGTCACTAAATTAGTAACGTATCTTATTATTTAAAACCAGTACAATACCCAAAACAAAGGTGAATTATTTATTCAAAATTGGAAAATAAACACAAGGACGAAATGAAAAGAGAAGGCAGTCACTTTTGAAACATTAGAGATGATGAATTTCTTTTTTTTCTCCATAACATTCCAATCCAAAGTATCTCACTTATGAGAGCTCCAAGTGGAAAATAATAAATAAAAGTGAATAAGCACACTCTCATGTAGCTCATATAATCATCCTATGATCTTGAAAATACACCAATAGCACATATTTATATATCTATATATATATATATGTCGTAGATGATCAAGATCATATTTTCAACTGGGAAGTTAAAAACAAATAAACCTCAGACGATAACAGTAACCAACCACTTGATGATGTCTCCCTGGAGAGACTAAACGGAGAATGTACCAGAGAGATTCTTAAGCGTTGCAAGAGGAGACCCTGCATTTGTGAAATATGACGCGAGGTTGATCTCCGAGTTGTTGTCGTATTTCTTCACGAAAGGATGTTCCTGAAATGTTTTCCAGAGGTTAATGATTTCAACACTTAGAATTAGATAGAAAAGGATGTGAGAAGGGATTTATAGATTATCTGAAAACAAACAAACCATTAGTTCTCTAGCAGAGCTTCGACTGTCCGGGTCTTTTTGCAAACTGAAAGAGAGTGCAGAGTAGAGTTAGGATATCTTTGAATATTAGTGTATTTATGAAAAGACAGAAGATTATTTATCAATTACCATGTGGAGATGAATGAAGTTAACTCAGGGGAGAAACTTTCTGAAGAAAGAGTTGGTGGTGGTTGGTCCACGATTGCTTCCATCAACTCGAATACACTGCTCCATGTTTCCTCTTCATCTGGTGGTAAGTAAGGGAACTTTCCTGTTGCACATTCTAGCACTACTAATCCCAAGCTCCATATGTCGCTTTTGTTACCGTACTTGTTCCCAACGATCCTCTCTGGCTGTTATAATAGTTAAAAGATATTGTTCATAACTCATAAGTGTTTACTAGTGAAAATAATCTCACAATGGGAAAAGAGATACTTACAGACATATAGTTGTAAGTCCCGACAAAGGTGTTTGCTAAACCAGCAGTGTTTGTCATAACGGTACTCACACCAAAGTCAGTGATCTTGACCTCTCCTCTGTGGTTTATCAACAGATTCGATGGTTTCAAGTCACGGTGGATGATGTGCTTATCGTGATGAAGATAGATCAGTCCCTGAAGCACCTGTATCAAAGAAAATCACATTATCACTCAACCAATACAGTAAAAAAAAGGTTTATTATGCTTGAACTTGTCTCTTTTGTATGGCTTACTTGCTTAAAGATGGCAGAGAGATAGGACTCAGGGATGGTTTTGACTGATTTGAGAAAGTCTTCAAGAGATCCACCGTCCATGTACTCCAAGATGAGCGAGATTGCGCCATTATCATAGAACGATTGGTATGAGGTAACAAGGTATGGACATTGTGAAGACTGGTTTATTTTAAGCTCTTGTGCAATTGACTTGCGGATAGCTTCATCAACGTTAAGTTGAATGACCTGATCAAACACAACAATCAGAGTCATATAAGAAAAGGTTGTTCAGGTGGAAAAAAAGAGAGGAAGAATCAGTAGTACCTTCAAGGCGAAGAATTGACCAGTCCATTTGTGTTGAACAAGTTGTACAACACCACTGCTTCCTTTACCAATGACTTTAACCATGTCCAAATCGGATAAGCTAAACTCATCATCCGCTGGCTTTATCGGAGACAGCTGAAACACACACAGAAGTCACAAACGAAAATACAACACAGTAATCATAACAAGAGATGAGCTTTAAGATGTGATGTGTTGACTATCTAAAACTAAAATTAACGATCTTGAAAAGACAGTAATCATTACAAGACACGAGCTTTAGTGATGTGTTCTCTTATCTAAAACTAAAAATTAACGACCTTGAAAAGACAGCAATCATAACAAGACATGAGCTTTAAATGTGTTCTCTATCTAACTAACTACTACTAGTACCGATCTTGATAACACAGCAATCATTACAAGACATGAGCTGCTTTTGTGATGTGTTGTTGTCTATCTAACAACTAAAAGTAACAATCTTGAAAAGACAGCAATCATAACAAAAGACGTGAGCTTTGAGCTATGTTCCTGACTAGAAGCTAAAAAGTAACGATCTTGAGAAGTTTCCAATAATGATCAACTCCAACAACCACATTACAATCCAACTCAGCCAAAATCTTCTCTTCATTTGAAGTTTGAAACAAATACTATAACCTAACACTCATAAAGATAAAAGAAGAAAGACTTTTACAGCTTCAGGCTCAGATTGGGAGACGATACGAACTCCATCCTTGTTAACACGCAGATCTCCATCCTTGAACGTACCGCTCTGCGTCCTACAGAAACGAACAAAAAAAACAAGAACTAAGCTTCCTCCAAGAGACATCTGTCAACAGATCTAACTTGAGAAAGAGAGATCGAGAGTAGATACAAGAATTTGGTGATGGATTGCTCGCCAGCAGGAGGGATTGAGAGCTTGAGATTATTGCTGAATCCACCCTTCTTCATATCGTCTTCTTCTTCTGTTTTAGCTCTTTCCCTTTTTATTTTTAATTTGTCTCAAAGTCATTTATATAAAAGTTAATAATACAAACTTTTATGCGTAATCATGGAGACTAGTCAGCAGTAGCACAATGGAAATGAGAAAGAAAAGATCAGTCAATCTCATCTTCTCCACGTTGACCAACGACTTCTTCCATAACTTTCCACATCCACTTATTTTTTCCCGAACGCAGCTCAAAACCGCACCGCAGTACAAAACGCAAACGCAAAAAAATATCATCTTTATTTATCTGACTTCTCATTACTTTATTTACAAGAAATTACATATATAAGCATAGATGTCTTTATTTTGATTATACACGTATAAATTCAATTACATTTGCAATATACTCCAGCACAGAAGCCTATATACTAAACATATTTGATGTAATCAACAATAACAAGCTTTTACAACTTCTGTAAGTAAACTAATATAAATCACACACTAAAAAGATTTCACCAAACATATATATATAATCTATGGTAGATGCGAGGGAACGAGCTAGTGAAGACAAGGATCACAAGGGTTGTTCATCGTATCTCCATCATGTTGAATGAGAACTTGGAAAGAAGCTTGGGAATCTGCGATATGATTGGCCCATAAGTCTGCAATAACAAAAACACATCATATGGATAATGCATATAACACGGTTGAATATAGGTTTACTGCGCGCTTTAACGTACATTGAGGTAAGGGGAAAGCGAGTAAGATTGTAAGAAACGCATACCTTTTCATTTTCATGGATCTGGCACAAGGGAACAGCGAGGAGTTTGAAGTTTTTAGGCACGACAAACTGTTGATGTACCGCTAGTCTCCCAAGAAAAAGCTTTAAGCATTCCTGAACAAGAAAAAAGATGAGCATAGAGTAAAGCTTTATCTACAAATCATCATTTTTTACTAGCATGGAAGTGTGGAACTAAACTAACCTTTGGGTGATTCACATTGGGTGGCAAGAATGGATACATCAATGTCTCAAAGTTTGGTCTCCACCACATCCCAATGCATTCCCCTACCTTCAAACATTTGTGTACATACAGAGAGAGAGAGAGAGAGAGAGAGAGAGAGAGAGAGAGAGAGAGAGAGAGAGAGAGAGAGAGAGAGAGAGAGAGAGAC